TATTGACACCTTCCTAGCCTTGGTACAGATGACAACCACTACGTTGTCTGTTCCTTCTGCTCTCCTAACAAGTATTGGGCTTTTCCCTTTAAAAAACTCAAGGATCTCTCCTGAAGCTGTCAAGTACAAGTGGCTTCATTTTTTTTGTTTGTTTGTTTACTTGATTGATCTGAGCAATAATTATGAAGTTAAGAAAGAAGTAGGTGTTGAAACCATTCATATAACTTGCATTTAGAGTGTGTTAATAAAACTTCAAATGGAACATCATCTTTTGGTTTGTTATTTGATAGTAAATAGCTGTGAGAACCCAGTTCTGTAGTTCTGGAGTACTCAAGTATTATAGTGCTGGTGCAGCTAAAAAAAAAAAAATCTTAAACGGACTTAATTTTTGAGCTTTCTGAATTGTAATGATTTATTTCAGTGTTGATATAAAACATGGTAGCTAACATGTTTCAAGTTTAGGTAAACCATGGCTAACACTTTACAATGATTATGGAACCCATTTTGAGAAACGCATCTTAGGAAGTGGCAGAGTTTAAACTATGAATGTTACATCCTTGCGTTGTTACTGAAGACAAAAGAAATATGAAGTGCCAGGCAATTTCAATTTTTTAAAATAATTAACAATTTTAAAAATATTATTCTACTCACTATGCTAAATAGAATTATTTAAAGAAATTAACGAAAAAGGTGAAATACTCCTCATTTTGATTTATCCGTCAATGAGTTTGTAATTTTAATATACTTCCAAAACTCGCAGCATTTCTGTTGGTTTGTTTTTTATCATAACTGCTTTATTTCCACAGAAATTGATGTTAGATGTGGAGGGTTTGATAATACTTCTTTTTACTCTGCCTTTTTAAAGCAAATATTTTAAATAAGAGCAGGAAATAAAAGTGCAGAGGAGTTCAGTGTTCTAGTGGTTGGGATTATGTCCTTTTATTTTCTTTTTAAATAGCATAGGCCAAGCAAGAAACAGTCTTTGAAAATGTTTGATGCTGACACTTTAAATTTAAAAGTAGATGTAGTCTTCTAAATTGGGGGATTTAGAATGTTATAGACAAAAATGGCAGTATAAGTGTGTGTTTATATCACTTAGCTGTGATCAAAATATTATCAAGTGGTTGCTAATATACTTGATAATATGTGAAGGAATAGGCTCAAGTGCTCGTCAGCCTGAGTACTAACAACCTGTACACAGGCACCTTTCTCCACTTACTCCATTGTATTCATTGGGCTTTCTAGATATTAACATTTCTGAAGAAGCTCAACATCCTAGTCATCTTTTTTCAATTTTTTAAAGATTTTTTTAAAGTACAATTTTGTGGTATAAAATACCTTAAAATTATGTTAATACACTTTAGAGAGCAGAAAACATAACTACTTGTAGGTCTGAGAGCAAGATCTACAGAGGATCTAGCACTGTGGCAGCCAGTGGTTTGAAAGGCCACTTTCATTTGAAAAGAATATGTGCAAAAGATCGGTTTACAGACAAGGCACGTTTGCTTGTCCCTACCTCTTTGAGGCATGCTATGGTTTTGGGGTTTTTCCTTCCCTGATTTTTAAAAGGTGTGTGCTAGGAATTAATGCATAAAGAAAATATCCCTCAAAGTTAATGCTTGATTTTGCAACCAGAGCATGTAGAACTAAGTTAATGCCAGCTTTCAGATCGGCTTTGCAACTGCGAGCTGACTCTAATGGGGCAACCAGTTATAATGAGCGAAAGGAGGAGTACGATTGCAGCTTGTCTGTGTGCCCTTTCTTACGCAAGGGGAACATGCACGTTGTTCAGACCATTCCCAACCTGGGGAGATCGGAACATTGCAGATGTTGGAATTTCTGTAAGCTCTTGACTGTGACTTTTTTTTTTTTTTTAAGAAATATCTACTGTGTTTACACGTAGTCAAGATCCTTGACTTTTGAGATTAGCGTAACTGGTTGCCACTGCTTAGTCTATGAGGAAAAGAGACATGTTTTCCTTTACCAAGCTGAGTAATAAATCTTAGTGAAGTTATGGCAGTTCCTAACTTTCACTGCTGTTAACAAGGTTTAGATAAGGGCTGGTCCTCGTTTGTCCTGCCTGGGATTTTTACCTTGCAGTGTTAGGGAGAAGCAGAAAATATGCTCCATCCACTTCCCCCTCCTTGCATAACTGCATGGGAAAATCATGAACAGGAAATTATGGCTCCTAAATTTGACATTGTAGATATAACTGAAGAGATTAACTTTTAGGGTTGTGACTGTGAAAATGTCTACTTCTCCTTGGATGTTTAAGTTTGGGTAAATATTTTGCAATCAGGGAATATTTAAGAAAATCCCAAACAGAGTAAATAGCCAACTTGTAATTGGAAACACCCGGTTGGAGAATTTTGTTATTGCTTTACAATTAAAGGAAGTTAGGTGCTGTAAATTTATCTGCTTTCTTTTATCCATTAAAACTCTGTTTGGATGATTTAAGAATCATTCTTAGGTAACTGAAACAGGCTAGTCTACTTTAGGTAGCCAAACCATGTGAAGGCTTTAAAACTTTGCTAGAAAAATATCAGGGTAAATACCAGTGCAAACACACCTGCATTAGTGTAGCTTGACTGTGAAAATTTTTAATTTTATTACTTTTCTAGTGACTACCTGTAAGATTCCACCAGAGTGGGTGGGTCAAGCTTTCTGCTCCCTCTCTCCTTTCTCCCATCCTGAAGATTTTAGAAGGGAATTTGGTAAACTAAGTAAATCCCGGTAATTGGTGAAGGGGCTGAGTTTTCTGAAAACTGGGCAGAGGTGACTAAGGCTGCGATTCTGTCCCCAGCTCTCTCTGGCACTTGCTAGACTCTCTGTTGAGCTGGTTTGGTATGCTAAGCCAACAAAAATCTAACCTGACCAAGAAACAGAGTTAAATAATACAAGCTAGATTGGGTAAGGCCATCATAGAACCAGAGCCTGTGCAGATGGGTAAGTCTTGAATACAACTGGGTACAATTTTGTCCTAGATCAAGAAAGCTTTTCTCTAAAGGCAAATAAATTATAGGAAGGTTGTGTGATTTGCTGCAAGTTCCTGATACTAAATACAACTTATGCAGAGCAGAGAATCTTTGTTTAGTATGTGTATACAAAGATATGTATCTGTCAAGCAGTTCAGCAAGTTTATCCTTCTGTACCTTTTGTGAAATCTAGGTTTTAGTTTCAAGTTAAATACAAGTCGTTAAATATTTCCTTTTTTAATGTCTTATGACAGTGCACTCAAAAATTCATGTGGAGTCCATGTCTTCCTTTTTATGTTAACCAGAACGGCTTTGTTGGGTCAGACTTGGAAGTATTGGTTTGTACAGTAATCTGTTTCTGACAGTAAACAGTAAATTCTGACAGCCAATAGTAAATATATATGGAAGGGAATAGTAAGAAGGAGCATTTTATGGTGATTCCCTAAGACCCTTCAAAATATCTGCAGCTTAGAGACTTTTTGAGCCAGATGTGACATCCTTGAGTTTAAAAGCTCGTCATGGAGCTTGCATTTGTCCAATTACTTTCTGAATCTTTAAATTTTTGGAACTCATTTCCAGAAGGTGTTGTAGATCACAAAGTTTAACTGCATACCATGTGTAAAAAGTACTTCTGTATAGTTTTTTTGAACTTGCCCCTTAATAATGTCAACTTCTCCCTAATGCTTGTATTTAGAAAATAGTTGTGCTTTATTTATCTTCTCCATGTCACCTATAATTCTGTACTCATCTCTTCTGTACTGTGTGGTCCCTTTTTCCAGGCTGAGCATATTTCTGGTTTTTCTTTTTTTTTTTTTTTTTTTTGACAGGGGGAGGCATGATTGCATACATTACAATGTCTGTGGGTGCACTATGGATTCATACAATAGAATTGCATTTTTGTTTTGGCTCTTTTGGTTCTTTCCATACAATTCTGTTTCATTTGCTTTATGGTAGCTGTTGAGCTACTGTTTTCATTGAACTGCGTGACTACATGACTGATCTTTCCTAACAGCTAGAACTCTTATGCTAGGTGTGTTATTTTGCATTTACCAGTATTGAATTTCTGCCGTTCTCTTGCACAATCCCTCCACAGTAAGTGTTCTGCAACTGTTATCATGATGCCTAGGACCTGGGATGAGTTTGGGACTACATTACACTTGATCTATGCAAAAAAAGAAGAGTGCTCTGGGTTCCCAAAATGCTTTTAATCCAGGCATAAGGCAGAGGACAGCGGCAGTATTGATAAGCAGAGCTGCAGTTGTCTCAAACAAGTTTGCACAGACATCCTGAAAGGCTGATAAGAAAGGCTAATAACAAAGGTGTTTTTCCTGAGAATTTCCCCCTTCTCTCGAGTTTAAGAAGCAGTGTCAAAGCAAACATCAAGTGCTCGTTTGGCAATTTTACAGAGAATGGAGGCTGCCAGCTGTTAGCCTGATGGAAGCAGCTGTTGAGTTTTTGGTGTTAAATGTGAGTGTATAGTTAGTATACGAGTAATCCAGGGGGCGGGGGGAAGTGGAAGCAGGCAATTTATGGGTAATGTCATGGAGCAAGAATCATGAGGGAAGCAGAGAAAGGGCGATGTGTTAGCCATACAAGTCAGCATTTGTGTATGTTCAGTAGGATAAGCAAGAGGGAGTATAGCAGAGTAAGTTGTATGTGTTCTTCTGTTGGTCTGCTGTGGTTTGGTTCAGTATGTGCTAAGGGTAACGGGAGCTTCGCGTCTGTCATTTCCACACACTAAATTGGGTAAGTAGTGAATGGAGAATGAGCGGAGTCCCCAGTGTGACAGGCTACATGGCAAAAAGGGACACCAGATTATTTTCTTGAAGACCCAGCTAGGCACTGAAATGCTGGGGAAGCTCTAAGAGACCAGTCTGTTGTCTAAAACTCCACTTAAGATGCATCCTAGCCATGAAGACCTCACTTGACATAATACTGCCAAAATAGAAAAAAACCCGTATTTTTATTAGTTTGCTACTGGCATCTTAAAACCAAGAAAAAATTAATTTTAATGTACTTTTCTAGTTCTAGGTCAAATGATTAGTTCTGTGACAAGACAGCATGACGCTTTGAGTATGACAGAAGCCCTGATGCTGCAGCAGAGGCTGGGAATATTAATGGCCAAATCTAGGTGAGTGATTTTTAATTCTGCCAGTTCCCTCCCTGATTAATTTCTTCCTCATAATCTTGGTTCACATCTCATCTTTGAAGCAGCATTGCAGTTCTTGGTTTTCTGAAGTATTGATATTAGAATATATTGGAGACAATAATGAGCTTGTATGATTATTGATTACGTACCCTTTCTTTGTCATTCTTGAGATACAGTGCCTATACTTCATATATCTTCATATACTACAGCTTTCTGCTTTCAACTCTAGTGATTTTTCCCAAACTCCTTTGCAGTTTTTTCATTGTTTTTTAAGTTTGCAGGCACCTGCCTCCAGCAGATTTGATGAGCTATTTTATGCTGGATGCAAAGAAAGTCATGATACTATAACAGCATGCTGCTATTTAGTTCTGTTTTCACTTTGTCAAAATGTTTGGGGAGGTCTACAACTGGACTTTATTAAATGCAAGCATTTGTGCCTGAAGGCTGCTAGAAGCATCTGGAGCCATGACTGCTGAATGGACCAAAGATTGAAAACCTTAGCTGCAAATGTGTATACTCATTGTTAATCTGCATTGCAGCTATTGTTACCTGTTGGCCTTTTTAGCAGTGGATTCTCAGAATAAATAAGGTAGCATCAGTAGGCTAACAAGACCAACATCTGAACATGACTGTAGTGAGGCATTGTGGGGTACCAGGGTAGGAAATTAGTAATAGATGTTATTACCTGTATCTCCCTTTCTAAGCAAAACAGGCAGAATTCATAAGCAAAAAAATGGAATAGTTAAAATAACAATGGGATGCATGTGTGAAGACTTAAACGTATTCTGTAATTAAGAGAGTGATTGGACTGGTTAATAAAATTCAGGATTTCTCTTCACTATGCAAAAAAACAGTTGTGTATAGCATAGCTTCTCTCTGCAACACTATAAGCAAAGAGCCACCACCCCACTTTCATGTTGAGTTGGGAAAAAGCTCTGACAAATTAATGCATGTTTTCATGTTATGGCCAGAAATGACATTAGAGAATCCGTGACTTTGACTATGTGTCTGACACTCTGCCTCTTTCTTACTGGATTAATCCAAGCCATGTTGTTACCCTTTCTGCTAAGTTCTCCATTTCACCTCTGCAGAGGTTTGGTGGCAGATTTATACACGTTTATCTCTAGGGTAGCAGTATCTCTTTTGAGGGACTTTTCTGGTCAAGAAAAGGGGAAGAGTTAGCTGCTCTTCACTGTATTCCTTGCACCTTATTTCTCAGCAGACTGTAGTGCAACTTGGATGCTACTGCTGCATGCTAATACAAATGCCTGTCTAGAAAGCAAGTCCTGGTTTTCTTACGGTGACATCAGATTTTTTCCCATTTAGTCAGGAAGAGTTATCAACCAGTTCTGTTCTTCCTTCTTCTTGATTCCTAATGTCATATCTCTTGTCTTACTAGCTCTCCTCCAGGATTTTGCCCCACTTCTCATTTGTGTAGTGGAAATTTTAGTTCTTATCCAATATAAAGATGATATAAATGGGTTAAGTTTTCTTTTGTCTGACTTTCTTGTATTTAAGAAACACGAGGCTTAGGACCCTCTGCAAGGTGGTGGAGGGAGGAGAAGCAAATTGTGAGACTTGTTTCTATGAACACTTTATCATACTGTTTCATGAAAGTTTTACCATACATACAAAAATCTTTAAATGAAAATATATAAAAAAAGAAATATTTATTTTTGGTTTCCTTAATTTAGCCATGCTGTTCTGTGTTAGTTGAATATTTTACCGTTTTAGACCAAATGATGTAGACTGTGTAACACAATTTAATCCAAATAGAACTTAAATAAAAAAAACAAGTTTTAAAATATTAGTGTTGAATGTGGGTTTTTTTCCTTCCCGTGACTTGAATTACATAGTTTTATGTACATTGCTATATGGGAAACATTTAAAACTGGAAGCACAGGGAGAGCTTCACTGCACGGCTGCCAGCACAGGGGCTGCCTGTGGGCCTGGAACACCTTCCACCCTCTGTTGCCAGCCAGCCCCGGAGCTGCCGAAGCCAGGGCAGCCTTTCAGGATTGCCATGTGGGCTGGTTGTGTTGCCTGTGCCTGGTAACCTCCTACAGCCCAGGGCTTGTATGGGCGTCACTAGGGCTGTGCTCAGCACTCTAAGCCAGGGAGTGCTCATTTAGCCGGAACTGGAATCCAGGTAGTTGCCTTGCATAAAGGCCATGGTTTAGGAGATGAGAATAGCACCCAGTAAGGTGTTGGGTTTTGTTTTTCCCCAAGCTGCTACCATGGGAATTAAGGTGACAAATCAAATGGGTCTGTTTGGTAGTGACTTTAAGGTGAATTATTGGTAGGACTTGGTGTTGCCACTCCTTAATGCCAAATCTAATTTCACTATTTAAAAATATTTGTAATATTTATGTTGATTTTTTTATTCCTTATGACTGCAAAATTCATCATGAAGAATTGTAGTTTCAGAGAGCAATTTGTATTAGGTTGTTTTGTTGATGATACTCTATTTTTACTTCAACTAAATGATCATTTTGTTGGCTTCCCCCGCACCTTTAGAGATCACATGGTCTTCTAAAGAAGTCATGGGTAGCTGTTGTAGCTGTCCAGATAAAGAAACTGTCCCAGATAACCATCGAAACAAGTTTAAGGTAAGCAACTGATACACTGTGCTGTGAATTATTTTGTTGCTATCTTGCAGAGTAGGTCTGTGATAGAAGAAATTTATATGAAAATAGGGTGGGAATTAACTGAACGGTTAAAACATGATAGTTTCGGGTTTCTGTGGCTACAAGTTTCTCTTGCCCCGTTAGAAGTCCTCCCTTACCAGCAGTGACAGGAATTCTGTAGACAGGATAGGCTTTTTTATGACTATTTTGATCTTCAGGAAGGAGAAGCAGCCCTGTGGGTTTGGTCCCTCTCCATTTCAGTTGGTAGGGCCCAAGTAAGTGTTGTTGCCTCTGGGAGGTTATGGAAGTTAAGAAGGGAGTCGTAAGCATAAGGGAAGAAGAGCTATTGGAGAAGTGTGATTATGAACCTGGATGCGGGGTCAGCAATGGAAGATTTTACTTGAAGATCACTACTGACTATAGCATTTTGAGAACTTTTGTCCTTTACTTGAAGAAATTTTATTTATAAACGTGCTTCTGTCCCTTGTATCCCTGGAATTTCTAAGCTTGTGAACACTTGTTCATGTGCTTAACATGCTTAGCGTGAAGCTGCTGAAGTCAGTGACTGTAAGTAAACATACCTTTGCATGGTCACACAAGTCAGATTTGCTTCTGTGCTCCAAACTGTCTCCGTGAGTTGGCAAAGGAATGTAATGCTTCTGTAGTGAAAAATGATTCATGTGTTGCCTTAGGGCAACACTGAAATGAGCTTTAAAGCCATGGGAATTTCTGGAAATGTTTAATATTATCAGTATAAAAAGCTGAAGGATAAAATATTTTTCTGTTTTCTTGCTTTTTATGAATTTGACATCACTTTGTGTAACTAGTTCCTATTTTTCTCATTGTAGAATTTCTCTATTGTTTGTGTGGGTCGCTGATTTAGCAGCAGGGGGGAGAAGATGAAAGAATGTAATTTGCAAAATTAAGAAAGTTGGCATAAGCCTCAGTGGCAGATGAAACTATTCCTAATTCTTTTCAGTTGACTAGATTTCAAGTTGAAAATGCCTCTTTAAGGAGTAACATTAATTGATACCATAGGGAAGATTTTTTTGGTAGCCTTTTTATTAAGTAAGAAGGAATCCCACTAAAAGCAGTAGTGTGAGGTAAAATACATGTGGAAGAAAATATACATTGTCTGAATTCCATAAAGGATACAGATGACCTCCAACTGGTTTAAAAGCAGAAAGACTAAGGGTTTAAGCTTTATACCCATGTTTTCATGCAAGATAACCATAGGGTATTTGAATTATTTGTTTACTTTAAAAAGGCAGAAAAAAAATCTAAACCAGTCTGGTGATTCAGCATAGTGCAAGGCTATACAGGTATGTGAAGGAAACTTTATCTTGGAGCCCCTTATCCTTTTTCATTCCTTTTCCCAACTGTAAGTGGAGTTATATGACAAAGCAAATATTTTTTTTTTTTTTTGAGAAATGGGGCTCTGAAAGATTTAATTATCTGAGGTATGCCTTATCTGTGTGGAAATACTAGAATATGTACATAAAGCCAGTTTTAAAAAAATAAAATTAGACTTATGAATCTTTTCTACTTCTAAATTTCTTCTCAGATTTTACAATAATGTTATGCAGTCTCATTCATATTGCTTTTAAATATGTATTATTTTAATTCTGGGTTGGGGGAGCAAAGGAGCTAGTTTGGTGAGGGGTTTTTTGTTTGGTTGGTTGGGTTTTTTTTTAAACTTAAGGATTGTAACTTCTATGACAGAGCGCATCAGTGAAACTTTAAGATTATTATTAGTAGTATTGGTGCTCAAAAGAGTACTTACCTAATGCTATTTAACTTCCTTTTTATAGGTTATTAATGTGGATGATGATGGTAACGAACTGGGTTCTGGCATAATGGAACTTACAGATACAGAGCTAATTTTGTACACCCGTAAAAGGGACTCTGTAAAATGGCACTACCTCTGTCTCCGTCGCTATGGCTATGACTCAAATCTTTTCTCTTTTGAAAGTGGCCGAAGGTGTCAAACTGGACAAGGTATGTAGAACTTCTGCATGTAAAGCTTTGTGAAAATTTATTTGATGTTGGAAGACGATTTTGTTTAAAAAGAAACAAAGTATATTTGCCTATCCTTTGGCAAGGGTTATAAAGTCTGTTCTTTTATAAGTGAATGTGGTTTCTGGACAAAAAGTAAGTTACCTTATGAGGAATGGTCTTAGAGTAAAATGAGGATTTGAGTTGCATGTAGTTTTTGGGATTGTAAGTCTGGAACACTTCATGCTTGTATGTGTGGATGCTTCTGGTCAACTTAGGAGGTGGTTTTGACAGGGAAATTCTCCTGCCTCAGAGGTTAACTTGACTTTTAGGGAGGGGCAGTGAAACCTGGAACTGTGGAGGAATCTTCTCAGAATTCAAAAAATTCTCTTTTTTTAGATTTTTAAAAGACTGGAGCACTGGTATGAACTGGATATCGCTACCCTGTTATTGTCTTCAGTTATACACTTTTGTTTCATCCTTTTTCTAAAACAAATACCACTTTCATTTATATCAATGACATAATTCTCAAATTTTGACAATTTTTGTATGAAGCATGTAAATTCCAGCTATGCTCAGTTATTTTCTGTGTGGCTTTAATTGGAAAAACATAGTTACCTTTCCAGTTCCCAGATCATGCCTGCCTTGGCCAAGGTTGGCTCCCAGTTAGAAGATATAGGCTTTTCTCTCTCTCTTCACTGCAGCAGTCCCTGAGGGAATAGCTGTTTTGTTTGAGATTGCAGCCTCATTTTGCATCTTTCTATTGTGATGTAGCTGTGTGTAGTTGGAATTCTTATGTATTCATATGTTGTGAAATTACGTTGCATTTTTATTTTTCTTACGGATTTTTAGCATTTACTAGTGTTTTTATCAATAATGATATTTAGCAATTGCATTTTTTTTTATAATTTCACTGTAAAAAATCAGGAACATTAAAGAACTTGATCATAAACAAAGCTGGTCAATCTTCATTGTCCAAGGAGAGGTAAGGGCAGACAGGGTTTTTTGGGGGAAAAGTTTAGAAGGCATTCTCAGTTCATCTCCTAATGAGAAATAGGGATGTTTTCAAATGTTACCGCATACTTCACACTAAATTAAATTTTCAGACTTCTGAGAAGAAAGTAATAAACTTTGTTTTGAAGAAAATCACTTCAATTGATTTTGCAGGTTTAATTTACTGCTGCTTTTAAATATGTAAAAGAGATATCAATAAAATTCAATTGAAAATACTATTTTGAAGGTTCTTTTCCATGGTCTACTAGCAAGTCTGCAAAATTGTTCACTGAGTCTAATTGACTTCTCTGCTTCCCTTCTAATTACTTTTTTTTTTTTTATAATAGAGAAGATTAAGCAGGCTGTGTGAGCCAGCAACCCTTTCCTCCCTCTTTTGTTTCTTGCCTTCCTTACGTAATACTAAAATACTGCAAATATTGAGGAAAAAAGAAATCTGGCATAATATGTTCTCTCTGCTGCCATTTTGCAATGGAGCATTGTTCCTGAGACCTACACTGGGTTTTGTGGGCACAGTTGCAAAACTTCATCTTCACTTGGCAAGATGTCCAAGAAGGTTTTCATTTGAATCTGAATACTGCCCAGCAACTTTTACTGATTACAGTAGTCAGTATTCTTGTTTGTGTTTTCTATTTAATCTTAAATTATATCTATTGATAAGTTGTCAGAATACACTGATGGCGAAATATCGAGTTTGTGCTAGGTTTTAAAAACACTGAAGATGTGCTTTGGGAGCAAAGCTAATAGATACTTCAAGTTTTCTATCCTGAATTATCTGGTGTGTCACCATAATGTGTAAGTGACAGATCACATTGTATTTAACGTGAATGTATTTAACAAAAATCAAGGTTTCATCAAGTTGGTTTTGCCTGCAGTTTCAGTGCCAATTTAGTTCACCTCATCTTTTAAGGAATTAGCAATTGGAAGCACTTTCTAAACAAACGGGCAAAGGCAGCTGAATTTCTCAGAAACATACTGGGAACTTTTTAAAGCTTGTGTACCTATACTATTGTTTTTTAAGTTTATTTTTTGTCCATTAAGATGTAAGTATCCAGCGTGAATTTTCAGAAATACACGGAAAATTAAACATGGACCATTGTACTTGAGCTGGATCATGGGTTGGGGAAAGGTAGTAGAAGCAGCTCTACAGCTGCTGTGTTGCTAGCATGAATTTTATTCACTGCAGCAGCTGAATATTAATTGTTGAGCGTCATTCCTCTTAGCCCATTTGGTATACTCCCAGCTGGGTTTTTGTGAACTTCTGCCATGCGAAGCACTTCTGGTAGTTCTGATCGGTCACAGTTCTGCGTCCTTAAATAAATATATGATGATAATTGCCACATATTAACATAGTTGCACTTACAGAACTAGCTATATAGGTAGGTAGTTTTTAGTAAAGAGTGTTTTAAGATTGTAATACTCACTTTAAAAAATGAGCACCTGCACCCACGTTTAACAAGCATGTCAACTTTAACTTCATGCTTTCAATGGAAGAATAATCCAAAGCTGCGACTTTGCTGGTGAGGGTAAGTTGGGGGCGCTCCCTGCTGTTTAAAGGCAAAGTGGCACAATACACACACAAAATACATGGTATTGCTGCTAACTTTGTGTTCTGTGTCTATCCTTTAGCCTAAAGCAAGTGGTTTGTTACTGTCTGTTTCACACAGTTTGTCCTACTAGCTTTTCATTTTAATCTTCTTTAATAAATTATACTTTTACCCAGTGTTTAAATCCTTCTTTCCTGTTGTGCAGGTCTCTTATTTTTATGGTAATTTAATAGAAATCTGGTTGAAAAAATATGACCTTGTAGCACCACAGTAGTTTCATTTAGTGTGGGTTTTGTTTTTTTTTTAAATTTATTTATTTAACAGATACCCTTTTTATCAGCTTAAAAAAAGAAAAAAATCTTGCCCTGTTTGGTGATTTGTTTGTGGTTTGGGTTTTTTTTTTGTTACTCCTCATTTAGCACTCAAAACTTAGTTTTGCTCTTAACTGAACCAGTTTTCTGTTCTAATTTAACTTTTGGTGCATGGGAATCTTATTCTTCTATTAAATAAACACTTTAAAGGTTCTCACAGTAATTTTGCGTGCTTTGGTGCAATAAAAATTTCTTAACATTTTTGCTTCTTTAACAGGTATTCACTATGTGGATTCCAGTTCTATTTTTTGAAAGTTATATACATTGTAAGGCACGTTTCTTATGTTAAAGGATTTTGATTTTTTTCTTGTGTATTTATAGGAATCTTTGCCTTTAAATGTGCCCGTGCAGAAGAGCTATTTAATATGTTGCAAGAGATAATGCAGAATAATAGCATAAATGTGGTAGAAGAACCAGTAGTAGAAAGAAATAATCATCAAACAGAGCTGGAAGCTCCAAGAACCCCTCGAACACCTACCAGTAAGTATGGTTATAATGTCAGATGACATACCTGAATGTAATGTGATACTTAGCCAAAAATAGCATTTAATTTGCATTAAATCTTTAAGTAATTATATAGAAAACTAATTGAAAGCTAAGAGGTTAATTACCAGTAATGCATTCTCTTGAGGTACTTGCTGAGGATTCTCTTTTGAGAATTTTAAGTCTTGGGAGCAAAACTGCTATAGTAAAGTTCTTCAGCTTTAAGAAATAAGTTCTGGGAACTTGGTTGTTGCATAAGAACACTGCTTCACTGAAGCAGTGTTCTTATGAACACTTATGAATACACCTATTGAATTGCTTTATAATATATCACCGTATTTTACTTGCAGCATTTCTAAGAAATGTTAATGTTGGGCAATGTTCCAACCTTTTTATTAGGGAAGAAAGTAATGGTAATATCACACCTACAGTGGGTTTGAAATCTTTCTTTTGCTGTGAGTAGATGGATGGGTAGAGTGAAGTCCTCTCAGAAATACTGGAGGATTTTAGGTAATCTCAGGCAGATGGCTTGATATTTGAAACTAGGAATTCCAGGTTGTTGATGATTTCAGAGAAATGGAAGCTTACGTAAATAAGTCCCTGTTTGTAAGGGAGACATGTTGTTAATGGTAGAAAGAGAAGTTGGATAGGGAGTTTACTGGGAGGACTGCAGTGTGTAATACACCTAGATTTCAGTGGTTGCTTCAGACATGTTTCCCAGTAAATATGGGGATGCTATAGTCTGCAATTTGCTTTCCCTTTCCTTCCCCACAGCAAAATTGAGTCTTGTGAATATTTAATACTGTTTTACATATTTTAATTTCTCTTTTGAAAATTGAAAATGAAGATCTAAAGCATCTTACTCATATACAGTAAAATGTTCTATTTTAATATGGTTTTGCTTGTTTTCTAATTGAATCAGCTCCTGGGTTCAATGCACAAAGTTTACCTAATGGCTATCCCAGATACCCATCTTTTGGAGATGCTTCATCACATCCTTCCAGCAGACATCCTTCTGTTGGAAGTGCACGCCTCCCCTCTGTCGGTGAAGAATCAACACATCCTTTACTTGTACCAGAGGAGCAAGTGGGTATTTTTTCCCCCTCATATAACTTAGGTTTTACATTACTTCATATTTTTCTAATGCTTGTCGTGTCGGCTTTCATTTATGATTTTCGGTATCAGGTGTAATGTATTTCTGCTGTATGTTAACTACCTCACAAAAGTGTTTGCTTTGTCTCTTTAAAATGATATTACAATAGTTATTTTTAAACACATAAATTGTACTTTATAATGAGAGATCCTCGTCAAAAAGCTTCTTTACATCTAAGTCTTCTACTTGGCAAATAGAAATCATGGAATAATTTAGGTTAGAAGGGACCTCTAGAGTCCTCTAGGTCAAATTTCAAAGTTAGGGGTGGCTGCACAGAGCCTTGTCCTGTCATGCTTTGAATACTCCAGACAAGGGGATTCCACAGTGTCTAAGCCATGTATTCCTGTGTTTCACCACCTTTGTTGTGAAAGCATTTCTCCCTAATATGTAATTGGATTTCTTCCTCTTACAGCTGGTGTCCGTTGCCCCTTAACCTTTTGCTGAACATCTCCAAAAAGGGTTTGGCTCTGTCTTTTCTTTATCTATTAGGTAGTTGAAAACAGCTATTAGATGGTTTCCTGGCTTTCTCTTAAGACTGAACAAGGATAGCTCTCTCAGCTTCTTGTATGTCACATGCTCCAGCGCCTCTCTAATCATGGCCCTTTGCTGGAATTGCTCCGGTATGGTGATGTCTGTCTTGTACTGGGGAGCCCAGATTCAGTCTCACAAGTGCTGAATTGATGGTAATAATCACTGTCCTTAACCTACTGGCTGTGCTTTTGATAACACAGACCAATGTACATTTGGGTTTCATTGCTGCAAAGGCACACTGCTGAGTCACATTCAACTTACCATCCACCTGGACCCCTGGTGCTTTTCTGCAAGACTGTTTTCAAGTCAGTTGGTGCCTAGCCTGTACTGTTGGTGGTGTTCCACACCAGGTACTGGACTTTGCATTTACTTTTGCTGAACTTCGTGAGGTTTCTATGAGGTCAGTTCTCCAGACTGCTGAGATCCCTCTGAGTGGAAACCCTACCGGTCTGGGATAGACTGAAAACTTTCAGAGGGTGTGTTCTATCTCATTCAGGTTGTTCATGAAAATGTTAGTCAAGTTTAATAAAATGTAGTGTGGTTTAGGAAGACTCCCGGGTATGACAAGAAACAATGTCGGAAACCAGAGAAGGTAACCAGGGCAAAGTGCAGTGAACTGTCTTGTGGGAAAGGATTTGTTAGGAGCCCCTAAGGAAGAGTCCAAGTGTTATTGTTGGAGTTATTGAAGAGTAAATGAGTTTAAAGAATCGCTGTAGGAGTCAAGTGAGCTGTAAATAACACTTCAGCTTGTGGAGCTTGACAGAGAAGTTGGGAAAGCTAGATGCCTGCTGCTGTAAAATGCTACTTTTGCTGTTTGGGTATCCAGACAGAATTAAAATTTAGAGAAGGAATGCATTACTCCAGTCTTTCGCATTCAGCCTTGTATTGATCCATGGTGGGAACTTGGAGGGATAAACTAGTGGTGTATTCCTGCCTTTCCTAGTGGCACCTGGTGCCAACTCCTGCTCCTTTTTAATTCTGAGTGCCACAGTTTGTATGGAATTGTATCTTTTTCTACCTGTGTTTCTGGTGTTACGAGGCTGTTGGCACTTGGAGAAAGAATGGACTGTTCTTCCAGTAGAGCTAACCTGTCTTCTTATTGCTTAAGTCATACACAAGGTGAGATTGTGGGGTTTTTTAGGTCTTGGTTTGTGGTGGGTTTTTTTTTTTTTTTATTTCTAAAGGCCAGTAAATTTCCTTTGCAGTATGGAAATTACAAAGATAAATTTAGCAGAAGCAACTATTGAACTGTTGGTCAGTGTCATGGTAAGAGACAACAAAGTAGAGCTCTGCTTCACTGATTTGTGCAAGTGGACTAATGAGCTAAGTTGGAGCAGCCCAAGGTTGCCCTGACCAGAGCAGAGCTGGAATAGAACCTGAAAAGCTGTAACTAGAGCCAACTGAGATAAAATATCAAATCAAAATAATTATTAATGTAGGATGTAAATTCTGTTCTTTTGTTAAAGTAATATTAACAAAACCATCAATGAAATTTCAGGTAAAAAAAACAAAGCTGAGCACAGCTCAGCAAAATGTGAGAGGATGACCTTTGCTCTTAAACAGCTGCTATCACAACATTTGGTTTTCAGGTATTTTGATTAGAAAAGTGGGGAGTTAAGAAGGAAACTTAAGAAGGAAAGAAATTTGGAGGAAAAAAAAAAAGCACAAATAGCATTTGAATTTCTTTTTTTTTTTTTCTCTTCCCCTTTTAGGTGCACACTTATGTCAACACTACTGGGGTACAAGAGGAAAGAAAAAATCGATCAAGTGTGCACGCGCCACTGGAATCAAAGCTTTCAAACACTGAAACAACTAAAATGAAAGAAGATCAGATGTGTACTGATGACAGAGATGCTCAGGTTCTCCTGGAGCCTGAAGGAGTTAAGTTTGTTTTAGGACCAACACCCGTTCAAAGGCAGTTAATGGAAAGAGAGAAACTGGAGCAACTTGGGAGAGACCAAGTTAGCGGCAGCAGCACAAACAACACTGAATGGGACACTGGGTACGACAGTGATGAACGTAGAGAAACACCATCTGGTAATAAATTCGTGTATGAAAATATAAATAGGTTATCAATCCCTAGTGCCTCAGGGGTCAGGAGAGGTCGTTTGACATCAACCAGTACCTCAGACACCCAGAACATTAACAACTCTGCTCAGAGGAGAACTGCGCTGTTGAATTATGAGAACTTACCATCCTTGCCTCCTGTTTGGGAAGCTCGCAAGCTGAGTAGAGATGAAGATGACAGTTTAGGACCAAAGACCCCATCTCTGAATGGCTACCACAATAACCTAGATCCAATGCATAATTATGTCAATACAGAGAATGTAACAGTACCAGCAAGTGCTCATAAAGTAGAATTTACACGACGTCGGGACTGTACCCCAACAGTCTTTAACTTTGACATTAGGCGTCCAAGTTTAGAACACAGGCAGCTCAACTATATACAGGTTGACTTGGAAGGTGGTAGTGACTCCGACAACCCTCAGACTCCGAAAACCCCCACCACTCCACTTCCGCAAACTCCAACCAGGCGCACAGAGCTGTATGCTGTGATAGACATTGAAAGAACTGCTGCTATGTCAAGCTTGCAAAAAGCACTGCCCCGAGATGATGGTACTTCTAGGAAAACTAGACATAACAGTACTGACCTGCCTATGTGAGCCTGGGAAGCATTAAATCATTTGCACCTTTTGTGAAGTTTATAAAATTGAAGATGCAAGTACTTTGCATTTCTTAACACTAACGCCTTTTATAGACTAATCGAACTTTTTCTGCATACTTCATGTACTTGTCTTAACTAAAGGGAATTAATGTAGAGCAAGTATTCATTTAGGTAACACTATTTCATTCTACAGTAGTAGTAATTACTGCATAGCAGCATCACCACCTTTCACAGTGCCTCTTTAAATTGATTACAGTCTGAGTGACATGCCAGTTTTGAATTTATAAATATTCTGGTCTGGTGCCTATACTTGTTAATGGCATTGATAACACTTTTTAAAGCCTCTTGATATGTGCATTATTAGCAGGTAAACCTAATCTTTCAAGATACGTATCTTATGTTCATTCCTCATTGAAGTGGCTCCTCCAGAAAGAAATGTATGTAATGCATTAACTCACTCAGTTTGACGTACACAAGATATATTGGTTCATCTCAAGGGATATAAACACCACACCTTTTTTGTCTGATTTGTTTTGTTTTTTTTTTTAATACCATATGGGCAAGAAGGCCTCTAATTCCCGATAGTTTTCTTAATGTGTGTGATATTGGAGAGGTCACATCATAGTTTGTTGATCAGAGCTATAAACGCATCTAAACTCAGCCTTAAGCTCCTTCCTCTAGAAGAGAATTCTGAGTGGCGTATCAAGTTCCCTGTGAAATCTGACAGAATTTTAATCTCAGTAGAGTTTGGGGTTTTTTTTTTTGTGAAGGAATTCACAGGTTGGCTGTACGAATTAAGGTTCTCTTGTCATTTCTTAGTTCGATGTGCCTTCCTCTCTTTGCATTTGTCTGTTTCTTTATCTGTTCCATAGTGTCTTGTTTTAAAAGTCAAAATTTTGTACATAGCTTTAATTATTGTTCAGGATCATTTATGTGTTTGTCTTTCTGCATTTGACAAAGAAAAACTCTTGAAGGTCAAATGGTTGTCTTTGTCCAGTGTTCTACTTTTTTATGCCTGACAGAAATATCCCAGCTCTCCAGCAGTATGCATTATTGCACAACTGGAAAGGTTTATTATGCAGTTATTGTCTTCCTCTAAAGCATCAGACACAGGTCACACGGGAGGCAGGGTACTGGACTTAGTTCTTTATAGAAAATTGCACATTCTAGCAATGTGCATCAATAGTTGATAGTATACTTTAATTTAGAAAGGTATGTAGTAAATTATCTGAAGGTAGTGTTATCTATGAGCATACTTCTTTTCATTTTGCAGTTGGTCACAATGATGGCTGCTCAGCATTACAGGTGCATCCAGGTAGAATGTTGTTTGTTGAATATGCCAGATGCACCCTTAGCAGAAGTTTTTGGGTTTGGTTTTGTTTTGTTTTTTTAATACTCTGAATAATTTTAGAATTCTGGCAGTATTGCAGATGCACCTTGGTACTAGCAGCAGAAAAGATTACTCTTGAGCCTGTGATTGCAAAGGAACAGATGCTTGTGTGAACTGGTGTGATGTAAAATAACCCTTGAACTGTGAGGAAAAAGATGCAAGAAAAGCCATTTGGAGATCTGAAAAAGAATTAAGGGTCTTCAGGCAATATTTGAATTGAAGTTTTATAAAAAACAAACTACAATTATTTTAAGTCTTTTGAGTGTATTCCTGTTCCTCTGTAAACTTTTTCTTTGATCTTCTCTCAGTTTAGTAGTAGCAGCAGAAGTAGCACCTGACATACATGTGTCTTGCCACACCATTAAGGGATATCAGGCAACCTTTTCACTCTGACTTTCATTGTTCTTTACAGACTGTATGGTACTGAAATACCAGATGCACAAAGAACATAATTTGCAGAAGTAAAAGATGGGAGTCATTGAAACTATTATGAGGAACTTAAATGAGATAAAAAAAAAAGCTTATTAATGATTTTTGGGTCAAACTATGCATACTCTCGTGATAAACTCGTTGACTTCTGGGGAGACCTTGGTAGTCAAGAAGGTATGACTACCTAGAGCTGGACATTTTACACGTCTGCAGTGTTAGTGCTCCTTCACATCTTTGCCATTGCCTCACCTTATGCTATGGATCAGTCGTGGTCTGTACTGAAGAGAAATTGCCAGATATTGCAAAATATTTACTGGGTTCATGATACTGGTGTGATAGTTGTTCTTAGCTTATAGCTCACTTAAATTTGTGAGCTGAACTAATGCTTCAGCGTGTGTTTTGAGGCAAACGTGTTTGATCTAGCTAGCTGCCTAGAAATATTTGGTCCTCATCTGTATAGTATGGGTGTTTCAGAAATACTAATGAATTGGATCCTTAAAACACACCTTGTGAGGCAGGGAAGTAATATTCTTAATTGACAAAGAGGGAAACAGAAGCTTCAGGTAGATGTGACCTAAGTGACCTGCTGAAATTACAACAGCCAGTCATATCCCCCTTTAGTTCCGGTGCATGTCCTATGCATTTATCTGGAATAGTCTCAGATACAAGAGATGGTCTGAGTAATTTTTTTTATGTTGTTGCAAGTTTTACAATACTTCATACGGGGTGTCTTCTTAGCTCTGGTCCCCAGAATTGAGAACATACTGAAATTTCAACTTGCTGTAGTCTTAATTATATTAACAAGTCTCACGATACATTCCAGGACTACTTTTTTTTACCCTCTTACATTTTATAGGTGGGATAATGCTTTATTGTTTTGTGTACGCTGCAAACATACTGGGTGGTCCCTGTTACCCGTGCTACTCATCTTTAGCATTCCTTATTTTCTGCCCCTTGAAGTAGATGTAGTTGCAATGCACTTTACCCTTTGAGACTTGGTAAATATTTTTTCAATTCAGTCTCTTTTGAGGGCTGTGATGTTAGGTTTAGTGTCTGTGATCTAGGATTCAGTTATCAGCTGAAATCTCTCCACAGTATTTAGATCATATTTATTTTGGGCCCACAGGTGTATAGACAGAGAAACTACTCATATGTAACCATTTTCTTTAGTAACTGAGACATGTTAAATTTACATAAACTAGGTCCCACAAAACTGGCGAAATCTCCAGCAGTTCTACTTTTCATCCATAACATGCAGTTGGCTGCTACCCTTCAAGCACATTTGACAAGGGAAAGCCTTTAACTGTAGGTATTCCTTTAATGTAGTGATTTCAGAAAGACATACATTAGTGTACCTTTGAAACAAGGAAACTAAGTTGACAAACCAGCTGAAACAGTGACCAGAAGTATGTAATAAAGATGGTACTAGAAATATAGTTAGTGAGAATTTAATCCATTAGTTATATCAGGATTTTTTTTTCTCAAATTGATGTAAAGGGGCAGACCAATTTTTTTAATTTTGTGGTGTTTCTTGGTGACTCCATAAAACCATATAAAAAAGACCATTCTGAAAACCTTAACTCTTGTTAGAACATTTTTTGTATCCCCTGATAAGTACATTTTGCATATGACAGGGGTTGAACATGATGGTGTGCACTGAAGCACTATTCCTGTTCCTATTAAAGTCTATAGAACTTTTACAGAAATCTTACATGTTCAAATAGACATCACATCATAAACTGCTTAATTCCTCCCCGCCATGTTTGGATATTTGTGTGTGTGTTTACACCTCTGACTAGGTTTCGTTGTAAAAGTGCCACAGAAAGCTGTACAAAGTCCAAACCAATGTCAAAGCAGGGCTGCTCTTTTGCTGGTGAAAGACCAGATTTTCCTGGTTTTATAACAGCATGTATTGGCTCAAAATCTGGCTATCCTTGTTTTTGTTTTATATTTAACCAATTCTCAATGAGACAGAGTCAGGAGAGAGCAGATCGTCTTTTTTTCACTGTCGGTGAAGTAAAAATGCAAGTTCTGATTAATGTCAGTTACTACTTTGAGCATATAACGATGTATCTGATTTGGACCTCTATTTCTAAGCAGTATTCTCTTTGTGTAAGGTGGATCAATGGTGAAATTCCTTTTCTGCACTGTACTAATTTATTTAATGGCTGCAAATAAGATGAAACTGATTTACTAGGAACTAATAGTGGACTTAAATCTGAAATTCTCCTCTTTCCCCTAAAGAAGTCTGGTTCTTCAGTTGGATAGATAGAATTAGGTATTTTTGGAATTGAATTATAAGATCTTTCCCATCTTTTCCTTGAGGTAGTAATTCAGGCATTTATATTTGACAGTATTTACTTAATATAAACATAAGTTCATTTATGATATCTTTATTTTAAATTCATATACACTCCAAAAAAAAAAAAATCCAGAAGAAATTCCACCACAAAAAACTGCGTTAAGATGGAGTTGAGGTTGCTGATGTCCTTCTTGCAGAGCATATATGAAAAAGACAAGAAGTCATGAGTTAAGGTTCTTCCGCAATCTTTAGGAATTGCTTCCTCTTTTCAACAAGATAAGTGAATAAGATAAAAGGAAAAAAAAAAACCAAAACCCAAACAACTTAGCAGCTGCAACTCTGACCATGTATACGTTATTTCTTGTGATACTGTGCTGTAAGGTATGTGACTTAAGTCTGTCAGATGTCTTATGAGGATACTATCCTAACACGGTGTTTACTCCAGATTAACGCAGTATTTTGTTTGGAAGTATGTAGGTGTACAGATAGAAATAGAGTATGAGAGACAAAGTTACCTTTAAAGTTGACAAACAAGTGTTGGACATTTCTATATTTTTATATATTACAAAGGGCATTTTGAAATTTTTCTTGCAGTTTTAGTGATTATTTAGTGTGGTAATATACATATATGTGACAATGTTTTCTGCTATATCCATTACTTTGGTGTAATTCTATTTTATGTAGCAAATATGTGTATATACAAAGGAGATTATGTAAAAAATACAATTAAGAAATAGGCTCGAGCCCTTCAGAACAGGGACGGTCTTCCTCTGTGTCTGCAAAGTACTTAATGCCTTGGGGTCCCAGCCACAGCTCATGTCCGAGACCCGTGGTGACCGAATTGCCAAGCGATGAGCATGGAGGAGCAGCTCCTCTGCTTTCCACGAGAAGCCTTAGTACAAAAGGTGCTGTGAAGCTCACCTTGCCACTCCCCAGCGCTGGGGCTGGGCTGTACGTGGTCATTCCCAACGCCACCTGCCAACAACCCAGAGAGCTCAGAGTCCGTCTGTCCTTTGCTCCAGTCTTTCCCTTTGGCAGTAGGAAAGGAAGTCTGAGGTAGGAGCTTTGATGTCATCAGGGAATCTTCCTTATTAACAGGGCGATCCGGAGCTTGTTTGGGCCTCATGCAGCGTCCTTTGGAGCCAAATGAATGACTCGTGTTGACTTCAAGGGCCACTGGATGTGTTCCTGCAAGATCACGTTCTGCTGACATAACAGCTCTGTTACACCTGAGGACCTGGTTGGTCAAGTTCTTCAGGAATGGTTTAAAAATACTGTAAAAATATAAATATATTTAATTACATGTACTGAAAAAAAAAATCCTATTTGTTCTGGTCAGAGTTCAGATTACTATGTGAATTTTGATTTCTTAGCCATACTTGCATATATATTGCTTTAACTATTATGTATGAAAGAGGAAGTGATTCTAAAGTGTGTGAAAGATCAGGATTACACCTGTTTTTTAATGGTTATATTATTTAGGAATGGATGTCAGCAAATTTAACTCCATGTTAATGCAGGTTTTTTGCATTAGAATATGTGTGTATATCATACACCCACATTTTATATATAATATATTATATATTTGGTACTAACTTTGTATTTTCCTTGAAATTTTGCCAAA